CAAACACGACCGGCATATAGCCAGAGTGAACATGCTTCCAATGCGCTGCATGGGTATACATTGTAGTTCAACAATCTGCGGTCAACAATCAGGAATGTTCGCTGCCAATATCCTTGTCTCATTACTCTAAATTGATCAATGTATTCAGCTTAGAATTCTATAACTCTCAATTTATCAAAATTCAATTTGGAACTGGATTGAAAGGATCTCATTTGCGAACGCATTTATCAGACCAAAAATAACCTCATTTTCCCATCGCAATTGAACACAAATTGAACGGCGTACGTGTGGTGGCCATTGGGAACTTGACAAACGCGGGAGAGGAAGGAAAAGGCTGAACTAAATTGTTTGTTGTCCTTTTAAAGGTAAATGTATAATCTCCCGCCAAAAAAATAAAGTTAAATATTTATCAGTTTAAAATATTCCACATCTAGAAACTGCGAATCTTTTATATTTTTTATTCAAAAAACTGGGACACAAACCTGTCTTGCACAGGGCAATTTTTTTTTTTTTTTTTTGGGGGGGGGGGGGGTGGGTGGTGGCTGGGGGGTCGTCGTTGTCCGGGAGGTAATAGTACAAGGGCATTTGCCGTAGAGCCTTGTTTATAGTAGAAGTTCCTAATTACAATCTCACACTAGAGAGGGATATAAAGAAACTTTCAATGTCATCAAAACCACCAAGTTATAATTGTGTTCATGTCGATGCGAAAGGTTATTCCGTCCAGAGACACACTATTAGCCCCTCCCCATCGCTGTTTTTGCAACCCTGTTCCATCTTTACGGCATTGAACATATCTCAGGCCCATCTCAAGGAGTTCGATCCCTCTTCATCGTATGAATTTGACGTCATGAAATACGAGACGGAGTCGATGACGACGTGATGAGGAGAGCATGGCCGGCATTGAAGACATGGTATCATGGGGGCGAATCAAACACGAAGCCCTTGATGAACATCATGAATAGTGGGTACAGTCTGAGTCCCTCAACTTAAAGGGATTGCCGACTTTGAATTCATAGCATTTTTGGTGAAGGAAAAGTTCCCTAAAATGTTTTAACAAGTAGAAATAGTTATACCTTTCTTCATTACGGTTAAAGTGTTTGAAAGACAACATTAGCCCTTTTACTGGAAAACTGACATACAAGCTCTTTTTAAATAAAACCTAACTGTAGCATTTGAAATCCTGATGAAATGTGGACCCCCTTGTCAAAACGATTTCGTCTTGACCACCACTTGCGTTCGATATCATCTCAAATGTAACGGGGCCATAGCACCAAAAGCCCACTGGGCATGCGTACGTGTAACAAGATATCTGTATAACTGGTCCTCTCGACCCCTCAAGTCACAGACTTCATGCATCATTAACAAACACTGACCTGCAGAGAAAAGAGACCTAGGCGGTGACTTGGATGTTTTCATTAGTTTTTCCAGGCTTCGAAGGGTGGTTTATCAAACTCATGCACTGGTTCTGTAGTTATTCAAGTCATGCTGCTTTCGGGTCGATAAGGGAAATGTATGAAGCAACATAGATTAGCTAGATGATTTATCTGGCAAAACACTGAAATCTACAGAAGATGTGGACGCCTACTTCCTTCACGGTCGCTTATTTTCCTGAGGAGGGAAAACAAAAATCTTTAAAAGCCTTTGCAATAATATGATGTTGAAATATTATATAGATATTAATACGAGAGAGAGCATTTTTATCTCTCAAGGACTGTGGTTATTTTATATACTAGATAAACGAGCGTTTCTGCTATGAGCTGTTGTATTTTACATGTACACTGATTTTATCACAGAAGAGTTATGTTTCAAGAGTAAATAAATGCTCTCAAATAAGTACGAAGAGGAAACATGTTAATGGAAAATAATTGATTATTGAAGTGTCTCTGTTGCCAATTAAATTTTCTTTTGATTCTACTGTATTCATAAGTACTGGGACATACTGCCACTTCTTTTAACCTTACATGCAAGATTTTGGTGGCTTCTTTAGGCTTCCCAAATAGTCAGAGAGAACCAAACGATTATTTCAGATAGCACCAGAAGACTTATAGAAAAATGCGGGTCCACTCATTTAGCGTATCCTTCGAAATGTGTGTTTGAAGATCAAGCTGCTTTCACGGGTTCTCTATATAGGGATCGTCAATTCACATGCTGCCAAACTATACAGAACATTGATGGAACACTTTCTCCATCGGGACACATTGATGATAGATGTATCCTCCATTATTCATCAGCCCCCGTCAGCCCGCGTCGCCTAAACAAGTGTGGACTCACGGTATCGGCATGTAAATAGGTCAAATAAAGATGATTCCCAATACTTCAGTCTTAAGTATGGCGTAAATAAAAGACCTAGCTACCGTGAAAATAGGAGTTAAACGGGTGTCAGAATTGGAATACCTCATAAACCAGTCACAGATGTAAGACAACATGTATCACGTGAACGATATCGTATACACCCACATTTATAACACAACTTAATACGATGCGTTTAAAATGTTAACATTTTATTCACATTATAGTCACGCGACTCGCGACTGCTGATGGTTGACTTTTTGTTGTACTGAGCGAGGCGGGAAGATGTCTTATTGATTAAGGATTAAAGATTAGAAACAGGGACTGCGTTAGATTAACAGTCCTTCCATTGAACATGTGAAAATAGATGCTTTGATCCAGGGATTATTTTCTGATTGTATTCATATCCTTTAATTTTGAAAATGCAAGACATGAATTGCCATTTAAAAATGAGGGTCTGCACCCTAGTGCACACTATGAATCACCAAGTACTTTGCTTTTGAGATAGTGATGTATTTTGGTCCTTGTCGAGGGGATATGTCACCAGCCTTGAGATCACTTGGTCCCATTTTGAATCTTGGCCTTAACGTCCTTTGCAAAACATCGATAAACATTTGACACTCTCCACCCGGGAGGGAATGGAATTGTTTTAAGATTGAACAAGCCAGTGGTATTTGTCGTGGCTCTAAATTCCATGCATCGTGTTTAGAATACTCCCCAACGATCCTGGGGCCCGTTTCATAAAACTTTTTATCTATAACAAATGCTTAATTTCTATGATAAATTTGTTCTCAGCCAAACAGATGCCTTGATTTCAGTAGCTTATAACAGTAGCTTATAAAAAGCTTGTAACTTGTTATTGATATCAAGTTTTTAGGCATTAGAGACTTTGCGGCTTCAAGTTTTCAACGTAAGAAAGTGAACAAAGAAAGTGAAGATATTTTTCTTACCTAGATTTTACGTATTTGATGTCTTTAATTAAAAAGTAGAGGTGTTCGGCACAGGTGTGCTAATGGAAATCAAAAGTTATTAACTGATTAAGAACCTGTTAAAGGAATACCGTCGTCACTGTTGGCATGACAACCGTCCTATTTAAGACGCCGAGAAGACAGATTAACCATGTAATTTTCAACATTTCTGTATTATTAGATTTTATGTGCTGTTTCCCCTATTTTGTGGTGCTAAATTCGAATATACCAATTGCCATTTTCTAAATGACGTCTTTGGCCGTTGGTATGGTAACTAAGAATTTTCTTTAAAATTACATGTTTTTCTCATCAAACAACCGAAAAATATATAATTAAGCGGGAAATTTATCAATTTTCAGCTACCCATGAGATTCTACATCATGATTATGCTTAAACATTGCGGTTCCAATGGTAACGCCTGTAATTTTAGAAAATAACATATTTCTTATGATAAAAACGTGAACACATATAAGGGGTCTAAAGAGAGCGAGGGCCCCGTGGTCTCCGATTAACTTGTTATCTCTCAAAGATAAGTAATGATTAAAGAAATTACTGACTAAAAAAGACATTAAGTACTGTAAGTTTTTTGGTTTAAGTTGTGAACGAATGGAGGCAATGTAATAATGCAAACCAAATACATGGTTTGTGATGTCAACGAACATTACAGTCATGCTCACTCGAATCTCTAGCCCGTACTGTAAAATACTCTTAATATGTATCCATTCCATTTACATCGGTCGAGAGTACATACTTACGGTACCAATATGTGATGACATAAAAGCACGATGTGAACAACTCTTTGAATCGTTCACAAGGATGCCATCTTTAAAAACGTCTTCATAAAGAGATTCGTCCCTCGGTGGCTGGCAGAGCAAAACATGAATTATGTAAGATGTAATCCAATCGGCATGGAAGATTATTTGCAACGCATGCACTTGGAATCAATACATTACAAACGCACCAGTGTTTGATTTATATTCATACACCATCACAAGACCCCCCATGGGCCCATCTTCAGCCATAAATCAATATCTGAGATATGTAGCCGCGCACACAGCGAACTTAACGTAACATAAACGTACCCACTGTTTTATGTTGTCTTTGGATGGTTTGTATCGGTGCATACTGATGGGTCGATGTAAATGTAGTGACATATACATCATGAGATGGATTACACTGGAATCAGATCTTGAAAGCGACAAAAGAGGCACCGAGCGCGTAACAAATCAGAAATCGTGTCTACAATAAATATCTTGTGTGATGAATTGCTTCATCACGTGGAAAACATGAACCTCGGTCTCAAAATGATGCTATGTATGAAGATATGTTTTTAAAGGTGGAATGCGTATCTTTATGCACATAATTTGTTTCGATTTTTTTTGTGTGAAATAGATAGGCCTACTTCTACTTTTAAAGATTTTTCATAAATTTTGAACTTACATTTTATCAATATTTTTGTTCATGCTAAGATTATGGTATCCCCTAAATCAAATTTGCATTTAATAACATGATCACCTTGAGCATCGGGTTAGGACATATTTTTTTATTCAATATATCCGTGAATTATTCCGACAAGAGACATACATTTATAACTTAACAATGACGAATAAGAAAGGACATCTTTGGAAACCATTTGGTGGGGTGTGATTGCATACTGATTTCCATGAATAAGTGGATTAGATGGATAATAAAAGTCACATATTGTTACCCAGTTTTACCCGTTTTCGTCCTTTTCATCTGCAGCGTTTCCAGAAGTGCATCGCCCCTCGTTGGACGGAGAGGGATTACGAGAGGGGCATAGCTGTACCCCAGCACCAGTATCCCTACCAGTCCTACCCTCCTCCTTCCTATGCCAACGCCATTGCTGGGGAAGTCAGACCCACTCAGGTTTGAATGAGTGGGGCTATAGAGACACCGGTCATCGGTAGTTAACATGATGGCGGTTTGTAAGATAAAAATCGATCAATTATTGTTTAAACCGTGTAAAAACCCACAAGTATCTGATTATGATAATCATGCATTATTAGATAAGTATCTCTAACAAAATATACACACGATAATAAAGATGGAAAAGGCTTGTAGAACGGACAAATTATTTCAGAGAGTTTGGACGTCACGATATTTAAACGCATGAACTTGACTAAATACAGCCAATTTAATCATTTCATTTCTAGAATTTTGAAAATCGATTTGCTTTATGGGATAGGATTGCATTTTTGCATTTTTTCTTTTTTCAGATGGCTCTTTATTAGCATGATTAGCAATGCAATTACTGACATAATGAGATACTTAAAGAGTTAAAATGAATTGCGGTGTGTAGCTTGATATGTAAAATTATGAGTCAAAATTAGTGGAACCGTTCAGTATGATATGATAGAAAAACCACAATAAGACAAGAATTACTGAAGAAGTTATCTCTTATAACTCTATATATTTTGAATATCTTGACCATGTAAAACATTAAGGATTTCATTCCCTTTTTGTTGCTGATACCCTATGACTAGGCATAGAGTTTGCTTGACCCCATATAAGTGATTTTTCTTTTGCTGTGGTAAAATTCTTTGTCTTTTGGATATGCATAACATATTACACGCTCTGAACGTTTATTTCTTTATCGCATCAGCATGTAGCAAAGGATAAAGACATTCCAAGTATTCAGTTATATGGATGTGTAAATAGCATCAGGTCTCCTAACACATGAATGCAAGTTGAAACAAGGTAATCGTTTAAAAAGCTGTAAGTGTCAGAAAGGGAAAAGGATGAAACACAAGGAAATAAGCCAGAACAATCATGAAAGAAAACTCAAATTTCGATACACAAGCAATCGCTGTCGATGCTATAACAAAAATTAGATATTGAAAATCGCAAATTTATGATGAATTTTTCAGTCTATTTTCTTTTGCGAGTATTGTAAACAAAAATCGGACATCAATAAATCATCAACTCAGATAGAATTAGATGAATTTGAAATTGCTATTTCACAGCCTCTAATGAAAGATTAATTTAGTCAGTTACAGGTCAAATAAAGAAGACTTTGCTGACTTATTATTACTAATTGATGTTCGAAGGCTGCAAGGCATTTCTTGATGAAGATCAAGTTACAAAGCATCACCTGTCTTGTATAATATGTCTTTGATTTTTTTTTGGCTGAGTTGATACTGCACCTGCAAAGACTGTCAATCGCTGAAGGCTTATCGTTCTCGTATTTCCTTCGAAGTGCAGTAACATTGTTGGGAGTATGTCTGTGGAGGGACGACCCTTATCTTTCAGATTTTTCAGAATTGTTGGCAATGGCGGATTTCTGTTATAAGATCACTGTAATATTTTAGACAGATGGATCGATGAAAGTGAGAGCCATAGAGAGAGAGAGAGAGACCAAATATATAAATCGAACATAGATTTTACAAAAAAATGTTTGTTGACTGCTCGCCATCCCCCGACTCTTCTCCCACTCTTTCCTACACACACAAACACACGCGCGCCCTCCCTCCCTCCCTCACGCACCCACACACATGACCAGGAGGGATTCTCTTTTCTCCGTCATAATAGACCGAGAGGCATGGAGTGTAGGTCTGTAAGGGGGCAGAGGTAGTACCCCTTGAGTCCCAGCTGGGGTGATTATTGAGCTCTAGGCGACAAGGCATCCAAAGGAGCCCTGGTGGTGCCTCAAAAGGATCTGTTGGTGCCTCTAAGATCAAAAGAGGCATCTAAAGCATCATCAGCCCGACATGACGTAAGACAATTTCAAAGGCAATCAAAGGCATGAGCATGTTTTCTTCAAAAATAGAATAAGAGAATTCTCAGTTTGGATGTGTGGGAGTATTAATACCAAATTATTCATAGCAAGCGAGATAATACGTCTTTAATCTCCCACGTGATATATTTTTTAAGGGACTTTATATTTTTTTAAGGTGTTTTTCCCGCGTCAAACGAACGCCCGCCGTGTCGTCAGTAATTATTGTTCATTTTCGAACTTCATGGTTGCATTTCTTTATCACGAAGATTACCCCCACAAAGAATTCAAAGTTTATAAATGTTATCTACATTAAATCTAACATTAATGTATGGAATATATATATATTTTGCTAGGTTTATGTCAAGAATTGACTTGATATCAAGTCAGATAGTCGTCGTCAACGGTCGTCTCCAATTAATATGCAAACATATTTTGGGGCTCATTGATTCCTGTTTCATTTAGAAAGGAGACCCTAAATCACATCAAAAGAAGCTCTGTTTGCCTTGCCGTGCCTGCATGTTTGTCTTGTCTCTTCTTGTCTCTTTTTTAGACAGACAGTGGTAACGTACCTCAGTCAAGGTATCGAACAGACGTGATCGCGCATACCGATTAGCCGATAACACTACCCGCTGCATCACATTTTCCGACCCTTTATTTTCCCGCTATTTTAAGTCGCCTGTCCGTCGGATCGAAACCATCCTCGTTCCCTCAGAGTTCGACAGTCAGGGAATAACCGCGTTCACTGGGGAGCTGATAGTTCCGAACATTTTGAATTCATTTGAATACAGAGCTATTTCACAGTGTTTTCTGCCCACCGGAGGCAACCAAAAACCGTTGACTTCTTAACCTATACGGATATGTGAAGGCACATGCATTAGATAACTGCGTAAGTTCTTGTTGTCACGTGGCATAATGGCATGAACGGGTTTAAATCTGCAGAGGTGTAATTTTTTGAAAAGTCTAAGATTGATAATAGAATTTTTTTCGGGCATTATCATGCATACACAAAAAACAAAACAAAATTGTAACTGATTGTAAACAAGATTCAAGTTATGCTATAGAAAGTGTTAACCTACTTTGGTCATTTTGATAGTAAACAACTTCGCGGAGATGCAATTGCATATTTATGATGTTTCATGTGTGACTACTTTGTCTTCATGATTTATTTACGATCTATGAAATGATGGAACCCTCAAACATGTCAAACTAGGCTTCTGCTTGACGTCACCGGTCGTGTTTCAGATAAACCTCAGCCAGCATACCAAGGGAGGGTTAGGGATATATAGGAACCGAGAAAGACAAATAAGAAGAAAGAGATAAAGAGCGGGAGAAGAGAGAAAGAGAGGGAAGAGAAAAGGGAGTATTAAAGAAAAAAAAGAGGAAGAAAGCGATAGAGAGAGAGAGAGAGAGAGAAAGAGAGCTGGTGAAAAGGCTTGAAAAGAGAAGGAGAGAGGTAGGCATAAACAAACAGGCAGATAGACCCTTCCCCCTTACAAAAAAGAAGAAGAAGAAGAGATAGAGAGATGATTTAAGAGAGAGAGAGAGGAAAGAAAAATGGATGGTTATAAGAGGGAGGGGAAAATAAAAGATAACTACAAGACAAAAAATGGAAGTGTCATTGGACAAAATAACGACAACCAAACAGAAACGACAATGATGTTTATTATTTTGCAAGATATAGAATAGGAGAACGGGAAGTTGGCGATAGACGAGGGAGAAAGAGTGAGTGGAAACTGAGCGCTGGATGGTACTTCAAAATTTCGATGATTGGCCTATGGCGCGAAATAAATCTTGCATATTATCCACGTGTCAAGTGGCGTATCAGGCGCCTGACAGCAAGTTGATTCACATCTGGGCTAGATCGCTATAACTCCGGCTGACGTTAGCAGAAAGTTGATTAAAAGAAATATACTCATTTTGTTTCCTTACTTGCTCTTTTTTGGGAAGAAATATCATGAAAAATTAACAAAATGCAACATTATAGCTTTGTTTGATTGGTTTCCGTTTGTTGAAAATTAGTAGTGAGGAAGGTAGATAAACTAGGGGGAAAATGCGAGGGAATTCACGGGATGAATTAGAGGTAGGATGAGCGGACATCACCGTTCATACCGGTGGGATAGATTAATTAACAACGTGTTTAAGATACTAAGGAATCAATATGGAAGAACAGAACGTTGGGAATGCGTGAGGAAAGGGGGAGGGAGGGTGAATGAAAGTGTGAAAGCAGAAAGAGGGAAACCTGTGGTGTCGCTGTGTATCGGTATGACCCACCAGACGGTATCTTCAACAAGCAAATTGATCTACCTCCTTGTGTGGGTGATGAAGTGTCCTACACACGCATGAACAGACCTATAAAAGGTCAAGTGGGCTACCAGACAAGTGTCACCATCTTCCGTTTTAAACTGTTCACAATAGCTCTTTTCCGGATCGAACGGGATGAAAACTATACAACAATTGACTTTTTTTCTTCTATGGACATAGCGAATGTCGTGTTAGTGATGAAGACATATGTTCTGGTAAGAATAAGATGTTCCTATATAGTTGCATGGCAACCATGGCGATTGTGTGTCATCAGATGATGAGATTCAATAAGGCGAGTAATAATTGATCGAAGGGCTTGTGAATATTAAATGGTAATAAATGTAAACATCATGTTTTGATTTGGGGAAACTGGAGGAAAGAGAGAGAGAGAGAGAGAGAGAGAGAGAGGGAGAGAGTGATGTGAGGGGGCGTTCGATAGTGAGATGGATGGTAGGGGACTACGGAAGCAAAGAGGATGGATAGAGAAAAGGACAGAGGTGATGCGAAGGGGTATTTTTCATCTTAGGAACAAAAAAACCCAAAACGGGGTAAATGTATAACAGGAGGATACAAACGATGAGATACGTCAAAGTGAGAGCGTCAAAAACGTAATATAAAATAGGGTCAAGCGTGACACTTGTCTTCTTGATAATAATGTCTCCTTCGAAAATCAACTCAAAACAAAAATGCGGTCAAATATGTACAAGCATGCTTTCTGGACTATACATGCTGCATCATAACAGAAGTAAAGAAACGCCGAATATGATGTTTACTTGGTCCTGTTTTGATGTTTTGTTGTCGCTCCTTAGCAGAGAGCAATATGTGATCTGATTCCCAAGTTGACTTCTCCTTTTGTAGATAGACGTGATGGGGGGGGGGGGGCAGTTGTACCATGCTTCTTCTCTTATTTCATGGTAAACAGGTAAAGTGCTGAAATGACAGGGTCTAGTTTGATGTTTATAATAAGCAAAGTATGTCAAATTCATTCTATTTTTGATAACTGTTTACCTAAACAATACAAAACAGGAACGTGAGCAGGGTAAGAGAAGTGTGAGCGATTGAGATGGACAGGCAAATACAGATCGAGAGATGTGGCTGTTATTGAAAAGAAATGGAGAGAGTAGAGGGGATGAAAGTCAGAGGGGAAAACAGACATATTATATAGAATAGAGAGAGAGGGAGAAAGTGTGTATGTGGGTGTGGGTATGTGTGTATGTATGGGGATGGGGGTACAAGTGTGAGTAAATGAGAGAGAAAGGATATCAACTAAGTTTTTTGCTTGCAAGTATGATTTATGCACAGGAAATAAATGCTATAAATCAAGATCATTTATATTAATCCGGGAGTCCTCAAGACTGTTACGATTCCTGGCACCGTGACTGATTACAGCGGAGTCCAACCCCTTGAATTTAAAAAAGAGGCGCTTTGGCCCACATTGGACCTGCGGTGAAATGAATTCATGGCTATGCGAACAGCGCGCAATATAACATATAGGGACAAGCCTTGTCCAATACATCGCCAGAAAACCGCAATATTTTCATTGAAGAGAAGTATGACGTATTGTCAAGTCGCTTATGAGAATGTCCATTGTTTAATAAACAAAAGATGTTGCTAATATTGAAGGTCGCATGTGTGGATTGTCGTCTATTAATAGAAGATCAGAGAAAATCGGAAACAGAATTGTTACAGCAGGTATCAGCAATAGGGTTGGCCCTGGGATCCGCGACGCGACCCCATCAAGGTACTCGCACTCTGCTGATAGCTCATAATAGTCAGGAATACCTGATGAACGATTCAAACGTACGTGTAGGCCTACTTTAAAGTAAAATGGCATTTTCAGTACTCAAGTCTAGGCCGGTAATCCACAACACGAGGCTCTTTTAACATTTCATTCACATTATACCCGTGAGCCGGTACACAAATCTCATGATAAGCTTTGATTTCCGACTCCCCTATTTCGAAAAGAAAGAAACCATACGTCGAATCAATCAGTCGATTTCAAATTATCTCAGCTTCCTATCGCTATAATGATCGCAGAATTAATTAAATATTGCTTACATAATATCGTATAATATTGAATGCCCCCTGTTGTTCAGGGAACGCGCGAAAGAAACAATAATGAGTGGTTTTAAGATGAAAATGGATGATGCACGTAATAGTAGTACTAAGGAAAAAAGGAAGCCCTCAACAAAAGAGAACGAAGTATATAGAGAAAAGAAATGAGAGAGAGAGAGAGAGAGAGAGAGAGAGAGAGAAAGAGAAAGAGGAAGGGAGATAGGGAGATAGGGAAAGGGGAAGAGAGAGAGAGAGAGAGGGAGAGAGAGAGAGAGAGGCAGCAATGGAGAGAGTCGGATTAAACAACAGTTAATTGAGAATGACAAAGACCTTTGGAAAGTGAAAATACAACAGAAATAAGTGAAATATATGAAGACAGGGTCGCCAAGGGGAGCCATTAAGATTGACGTCATGTCACGTTTTTTTAACTTTAATAAAAATACATTTGCTTTTTTTGAAAAGATCTTGCGAGGTACCCGTGGGTGAATGTTATCATTGATTTCAGGAAATGTTATGTTAGTAAGGTTTTTTCTTTTATTCATCATACGCCTAGATCGTGCCTCACAAAAATTTAAAAGTAAAAATAGTTATGAGCGAAAAAATAGTATTTATCTCAGGAGGAAAACCATTATTAATGCCTGTCTTTACCGCACTAAGAAACATACAGTGAGGGAAATGACACTCCTTAAAAGCACGGAAATCTTTCAGTATGCGTGCCATAAGCGAAAGTGTGTCTTTGTATTTTAATATCGAGATAATCCTCCCGACCACCATTACGTTGTATAAATATTTATCTTTATAATACCCAGCAAACACCCTTGTTACCTAGACAACCACAGGCATCACCCTTTAATGAACAAGATGAAAGCCGCGAGAATTAAACAAACAAATACCTGCAAACGTTTAAGCCTTCAGAAACAAGAGAAAACAAGGAAGTTCTTTTTTTTTAGAAGGAGAGTACATAGGTCTTTTGTCTTTTCACCACCACAAAGTTTAAATATAGAAACGTTTGCATATTCATTTCAAACAACTGCAAACATTTAAGCCTTCAGAAACAAGAGAAAATAAGGAAGTTATTTTTACAAGGAGAGTACATAGGTCTTTTGTCTTTTCACCACCACAAAGTTTAAATATAGAAACGTTTGCATATTCATTTCAACCCAACCCCTTCCTACCCTACGTGGCTCCCTAGAAATGTTTAGCGCACTGCCGAGCAGAAATAATCGCGAACAAACCTCGGCTTGTATCATGGGCTCTGGACTATTTTTAAACATAGATTAATGAGTGGTAAATATAGCTTGTTTCTAAACAGTATAAGCAAATCGTACGTGATTAAATATTCGCATGTTCTGTTATAAATATCTTGATTGAAAGTACGATATATAGTCAAAAATGTACCATTGTTTATAATCTTTCTTGCTCATTTTAGATTACGGAATAAACAGACCACACTGTCGAGAGGAAAGATTCTCGTTGTAATTAAAGAAGAATGACTTTTTATCTTTAGATCCATGTATTGATAATGAAGTAATGAATGAAGATATTAATACGATATCCTTAAGAGATCAAAGGATCTGAATTTGAAGAACATTATTTTGCATCTTTGAATATCCACTATTGTGTTCTTTTTGACGGTCTCTCCATCATTCCCATCCTATGTCTTCACCTCTAGATATATGTTTGCCTATCTACCTATCTCTCGTCTGTTGTATATATATATATATCTCTTCCTACAAGAACTCAGTAGAAAGAAAAAAAGAGAAGTGTGTATATATCAATAAGAATGTAATTTCCTCAAATTTTGCTTCATTAAAATTGGGGGATAATTCGTATGATTAGTATCATAATTTAGCTTTTTGTTCATGTTTTCAAATTTTACAATGACGTGGTTTAGAATTGTTATATCTACTTTTAATTGCAGGAACTGTTATCATTCATAACATTTCAAGAGAGTTATACAGATCTCTGTGCATTTGAACATATTGATCGAAATGATTGTATTTTGTTGATTGGTAACAATGTTACATTTGTATGTGACGCCTCAGGCCAATCCAAGGCGAGATGACCAACCCTTTTAGAACACGTTACAGCTTGGGAAATCTTCTTATTGTTCTAATCTGTGTTTGAAAGATCACCCACAGGTACATGTTTTTTGTGTGAGGAGTAATTAAAAAAAATTGCATATGTTGATATTTAGTGATGCGAACATATAAACGCAATAAAATATTAGATGCAGAGTTGTAACATAAACATACAGTATCACAATAGACCAGTGAAAAATGTACAGGAATGTATTTTGTATGGAAATGAATATACTATAACTATATTACGTAACGTTGTGAACAAGTCTGACCCGTCCGTTTTTCCTACTTTTGTATCTCTTGTAGAAATATAAGTCGTACATTATATACACCACCACACACCATTTTGTATGTATACAATATCGTACGATAATGACATGATTATTGGATAGACGGTTTTTAGTGATGTAAAAAAATACTCTAGGTGAAGGCTAGCATTGGCTTTGTGAATACCTTTTGTGCATATTGTGATGTATGTGAAAACAATATAAACTAAAACGATCAATGTATATATCATGTCTGGCTAATGTACTTTTTATTTTATTATGTATCGACTTTAAAGAGGCTTAATGGCCCTTGAGTTTACTGACTGTAAATAGTATTGTATATGGCGGAGTAAATTAGATGGCAACACGAATGTAAGATAGCTCTACAATGAACTAAGGCTCGCGAATGATCTCGTTTCAAAGAATAATTCTGGTTGAAGGAACGGAGTGACCTATTCATCGGTTGGTTTTATGCGATATGTTACTTTTATGAGCAAAATGATACAATTATATACATCTAATCAAATTAATCAGTGAAGTTTAGTCGCTTAATAATGTTTGAGCACATTTCTCAAAAGAGCGATTAAGGATAAATGATATTTCTTTTGGACATTGTTGTTTACAAAGACAAAACCGCTCAATCACTTAAAAGGGTTTTCTTTGATTAAAACATACTTCCGTCACATATTATAATGTTAGAATACATTAATTTGACAGTATCGTATATTTTTTAGTTTTTGTTGTCTGTATGAATACAGTTTGCCATTTGAATTGATCAACCGTTGTTTTATATTTATGCATGTATGATGTAAATATATGAATACTATCGTCTTGCTTATTGGTAATTTAGTTATGTGAAGTATATCATATCCGTGAACAAGTGATTTGTTTTGATTTTCTTTCCAGTCGAAATGTATCTCTTTGTGTTGGCAGAGCGTCCGTGATTGAATTGTGATAATTATTGTGTACCATTTCATACAATCCTGTAACCATATAACACTATTTCGTAGATGAGATTCCTAATTATAAGTTGTGGAAGACACTGGCGTGGAGGCGACTTGCTCGCGTTTTGCAGTTTGTATCCATCAGGATAATATGACATGTATGAGAGATTTTGAGATGATAGTCTTGATAATAAAACTGGTTGTTTATCCACAACACAAGATCTTTGTCCATTTTCTCGGAATATAAGAGTATTGTAGTATAACACGGCCTTAAGGACAGTAACAGTAACAATGATGACGACGATAAAGACAATGGTAAATTGCGGTTTTTATATTATTATAATAACGACTTTGAAAATGTCAATGATTATGGTGATGATGATGATGATGATGATGATGAAGATGATGATTATGATGATGATTATTATGAGGATGATTATTATGAGGATGATGATGATGATGAATATTTATGATGGTGATGATGATGATTATGGTGATGATGATATTGATGATGATGGTGGTGATGATGGTGATGATGTGATGATGATGATGATGTTGAAGATGAATATGATGTTAATGATATTTATAAAGGAAATCATTAATTTGGTGGTACTTGTCTGGATAATGTTGGTGATTGTCATCAAATCAAAACAGTTCTGAGCATCACGAAGCCTAATCTTTTGCTCTTTTGGTTTTGGTTCTTCGGAATTTGTTTTTGAACAATTATAGGATGGTAACATTATAATGCCACATTCCTATGATATATCAATAAGTTTTTTTTTCATTCTTAAAAATAACTAAAAGACTGCTATGATAATGTTTATTCCTTCACAAAGTATCTCAATTAGAAGGGAGTTGAAGAAATCCTAGTTTTCATTGACGATTAAGATAATAATTTTATAATATGAAATGAAATATCTTCCATATAGCCCGCATTTTTAATATGTAAATATAAAAGCACTTATTGTGCTTGGATCTGTTACAATATGTAATTGCATGTCAGATTATCATATTCAATTTTTATTTTCCTAATTGTCTACGATTCTCCAGCGCTCGTCTATATATTATGAAATACTCTGTGAAAAAAAAAATATATATCGATTTTCATCAAATTTTTGATTTTTCTTTCTTCAAAATTCACCCGATTTTTTAATTCCCCTTTTGTTGTCTTATTCGTATTCTTCATGGAAAGGGGATGCCAATTCATTGCCTTCTGTATCAATTTGAACTTACACTTCTCCAAAAGTTCATATATATTACCTTCACGGAAAATGATTAATTGTCCATTAACCATTGGCATTCTGATATAATCTACGTAGAAACGTGCCTTTTAGGGTGATGGAATACAATGAGGGGCCGTTGACCTTCAAATCGCAGCATCTACAGAGCAAAGGGTCTATCCGAACCCCACTTGTCACAACCAGCTACGAAGACTTACAAAACTGTTGACGGCTTCGAGCGACTTGGGTTCCTTGCCACTTCATCAAAGTCGGTGTAAGAGATCTATTATGCATGGACTCAACACGCTTTCAGTAAGCCTGGCATCTGATCATCGACGTTTTGTTTAAAGCCCAGATGAGTACAGAGCAAGCGTGTGCGTCATGACCGACGAGATAAGGGCACGTTTGGTTGTCCATTTGGGAGTTAGCATGGGCACCAAAAATAGAAAGGAGTTCCCAAACCACCCGACTTTAAAATCATCGAAACAAACAATTTATTCACCAGTGCTGATAAAAAGCGAGTCCATTATAATATTATATTTTGAAATATTTAATGTTGGTTAATATTATATCACTGTTTCTCAAAGGGGGCGTGTTTTAGGATTGTCTCGGATCGGGGTTGCTGGTAACATTAACAATTGTATAAATATCCAACCATAAAGTGTCACAATAA